TGATTTTTCTTCTTCTTTTAGAGAGGTCATGAGAAGCTAAAATCACTTCTGCTTTTAGCGTACAATGGATGCTTTTCCACCAATCAAAAGTAGTCCATGATTTATCGTGGTTTTTTTGAATTTGCCCTGAGCTTTGAAAATGAGGAAAATTGGAAGGATCAAAAAAAGAGAGAGGAACAATTAAAAAACATCATTAGCAAAGAGACAGATTTTACAATTAGATGGAACAGAGAGAGAAAGATCATTAAGAAAAAGAGGTCTACGTACGCTATCTTGTGGTACACCAGAACGAACAGGAGAAAGAGAAGAGAGAATCCTTTATACAAACACACTGAGAATGGTTCAAGAAGGGGACAAAAGAGAAAACAAAGGATCATTTACACTAAAGAAATAGTTTTTCCGACAAAATAAAATGGAAAATAGAATTAAAAAGCTTTATAGAAATCAAACGACATGCCAACACACTTCGCTCAGTATTCCAAAAATTAGAAACAGTTAAAAGGTAAGAACAACAAAGCATCAAGATTTGAATATTTAGGACAAAAACTATATCGTTTATTTACAAAAAAGGAAACTTTCGACAGATGAGAGACACGGCGATAGGTGGAAATATTGGAAAGAGAGCCATTTTTGTGAATGAGTACAATAAATGCAGTTTTCTATGTGTATCAAAACGTTTTATTTATCTGAAACGAGATAAGACGGAGATTCATTAGAAAATGCAAACAAAATACAGTTCTAGACAATCACAAGACATAAGTCTAAAAAATAAGAGACGTTTTCAAGATCTTCGTTCGCAAATGCACTCTATAAACAAGAAATCAGACTAAAATCACTGAAATTATGCAAGGTTTTCTCTGCTTTCATTCCAAAATTCTATGGCTGTAGCATTCTAATTTTTGGCATGAAACGTTTAAAAAATAAGACGCCATGGTGTCTAAAATAAAATTCAGACGTTCAACCATCCATATAAGATGTTTGGGGTTTCATCTAGTGTAAAAAAACAAAACAAATTATACACTTTTATGATGCTATGCCGGAGAGAAAAAAAGGAAAAAAATTTATATTAAACTCTCGTTGGTTCATCCGCCATCTTGTCGCAGAGGTAAAGTGAGTGGCTGGAAAAAATGTCGGTAACAACCTCGCGTTATTGGTCGGTGTTTTAGCCAGTTAAGAATGTTCTGAGAGAGGTCGCCTAAACTACGAGATAAGAGAAAGTGGTTTTGTGTAGAAAGTCAAAAACAGTTTTATTATACAGAAATTCTTAAAATCAATAAGTAGAATCAAAGATAGGTATCCATTAGAATACGCATGAGCATAGACAGTGAACTCGAGTGGTACAGAGGCTTTAAGCCATCGGATGAGACTTAATAAATCTCACCCGATGTCATCACCAGAGGCTCAAGCTATTTTGGAGTGTAAAATTTCGTTAAAATACGTGGTTTGATTAATATATACGGAATAGAGAATGAATTCTCTTGACTTGAACAGTCCCAGTTTTGCATCGAAGAATGATTAATGAAAACAGTTTTTCTACCGTTTAGATCACTTCTGTTTTTATTGATTTACCTGTTGTTTTATTCGTGTTCAAAATAAGGTACGCTTTTGTTCTCCATAACGCTTCGTTAAGAATTCGATAAGGAGAGAAGAAAATAATTCAATAAGGGGAAGAAATTTTGAGTTATTTCCACAGCGCAATCAGAATCCATATTTTTCGTGTTGGATCGAATAGTATTAGATGAATGTTATAGCATCAATGATTCGTATTGTAAAACTGTCCTAGTGTATTGTTATAGCACAAATAATTGTTATTAATACTACTGCATGTACTGCTAAATTTAAGTTCATATGGGTGAGCCTTATCAACATACAAAACTTTACAAGTACATATAATTTACTAAAAAGAGATCAGATTCCATGAAAAGAATTGACAAATAAGTGAATGGTAAAATTTTTGTTTGCTTCATCCACATGTCGATCTCATCGACTAATTAGATCAAAATTATTAAAATTCAGAACTGGTCGATACATTCAGATATATGCCATGGAACATAAATTTTTAATTAGTGAATAAGATGCTGGAGTATGGAGCATCTGTTTCTAGCTATATCTGTATGTTTTTCAGTTTGATTACATTTATAATAAAAACATCTATTGGCGCTGGAAAAGCCGTTCAGTTTGCAATGAACGTGCAGTATATACTGCCGCAAATAAGGCTATCTCATTCCTATCAAAAATTATTCAAAAAACATTCACGAGCCTTATATTTTGAAATGGATGGTAGTCACATTTGTATGGGCTATATGCCAACAGGGATACAAATCCATGTTTTTAGTAATATATATTTATTAAAAAGTATCGCTTTCTTTGTAAAACGAATATTAAACTTTTTTAGAAAAAGTTTAAACTTGATCTTAGTCGTCCTCTTCCTCATATGTGCTATGCGTTGAAGTTTGGAAAGATTTTCTTGAAACAATATGACAGGCGCGCCTTTTGAGTTCGCTTTCGTACAAAATTTTTGATAGGACAGCGCAAAATTGCATTATCAGACATATTTATGGAGAGTACAGTTCTGAAAAAAAATTTTGACTTTCAATGAATTTCTCTGAGAAGTTTTTCAGTGTTCGAACTTTCGTTCACATTTTTGCAGTCAAGCAGCCAAGACTACAACGTATCTGCTGATGAAAAGCCAGCTCCGGCTCTCCGAAAATAAGTTGAATCTATGAGGATTATGAAATAGCTCCTGGCACTTTCCAGAATGTTAAATATTAGTTTATTGCATGATTGTATCCGATAGTGTCCAGCTGTCACAATACAGCGCTACAATATTGTTGTTTGCTCATATTTTAGCGGAAACTGGCTCCGCTTAATGCCACAGAGTGCATGGATAGTTCACATTCTGGAGAACAGGAGCTATTTCATAATCCTCATCAGCAGATACATCGCAATCACGGCTATTCAACTGCAAAAAACGAAAAGCTCGAAAACTGAAAAACTTCTCAGAGAAAATTATCAGAAGTAAAAAAATTCATTTCAGAACTGTACTCTACTTCTTAATTAATTATTACTGAAAAGAAATATATGGGAAAGATATGGATTTGTATCTTTTTTGAGAAGATAAGATTTATATGATAATAAATTGCGTATCGTGTTTCAATTAGATCATTTGGAATAAAATTATCGATGATGTCAGTCATCATGATAAGAGTAAGAGGTTACAGAACTCTTTTTTCAAACAAGTGTCTGACAATACATATGACATATATTCTTCCATTTTCTGAATTCCCAGCTTGTTGATTTACTATATAACGATTATTTTTACAAGTTAATAGGTTTTTTCCATAATATGCCACTAAACGTTTTATTTTCATAACATTTAATTAAAAATAGCTTACTTTACTCATACTACGATGTGATATGCTTTTTAAATTTCTTGAAATGATCACTGTAATTTTGTTACATGAAGGTTTGACCTTTACTTTATTCGTACAAAACAGTGTTCAACAAATAGCGCATGATATTAAAGTAACAAGTTAATTTTATTCTCTCATCATTACTAACAGGTTGCACTTTTGTGATTTTACACGTCTAAATTTCCTTATACAATACATACACAACAATCATTAGAGAAAAAAAACACAATAAGCACTGTAGCATTACACAAATACATCGACATTCATCGCGTCTTTCATGACTGTCTCACGAAATGTAATCTTTTTTCACATCATTGCCTAAAAAATTGAAAAGAATATTCAGATTTATAAATTAATATAACGCTCCACCGAAGCTGTCGATTTCTGACATACAACCTTAAAGAGGTAAATCGCACAGAAGGAAAAAATATCCCATCTTGTGACTCCCGTTATCCCTCGCTACAGGGTGCTATCAAGCCAAACTTACCAGTTTCAAGTAGTTCAATATACTCTCGGAAACAGACAATCTTCGAAACTGGCCAATCATCTCAACGACAGCTTTAGACAGAAAGTCAGCCTGACAAATAGTTCTTTTGCCAAATTAGTGAAACTGTCTCTACACACTTGCTAACCGTGTACTAGTCGTCCGGTACATCAGAAAAAGTATGATTGTATGTTACAATGTAGAAGCAAATATGTCGTCAGACAAGTGACTCGAGGTGCCTGAACAGAAGACACTTGTTGCTAGTGTATGACTGTATCGTTGGGATCCGAACGCACATAGTACTACTTGCCTGTGCATTAACGGTTTGAATCTACTTGTTCGATGGACCGCTGATTTGCTATTCTAACGAAATACAAACATCATCGTACAATGTTTCAATTTTAGCTTAATTATATTCTGATTTGACACGTGCATCATCTACTTCCACGCCATTCCAGTTTGTTTATATTGTTGAACATTCGATAATTGAAATTGAACGATCGCGTTTCGATTCAATGAAATTACAGCCATATTTGTAGATTTCTATTTTTGGCGAATAGGAAATTAAACGTATAAAATAAATTAGACTAGTTAACTAATAAACAACAATGTTTACTTAAAACTTGGCCAATGCATTATTTCATTGCTTAGCATACTTGTACTTCTTCCGACTTTCGAATGTACTCATCGATCGGGCAGATGATAGTTCGCAAACTTATCTTAGAATGACATATTTCTAATAAATAATGAAAATATATGTATATATATATAGAGATATATATACAATATTCATTAAGAATAGTTGATTTTTTCTTCCTCTGCGAATTGAGAAAATAAAAGATACACACAGGAAAATTCATAAATTAAATTACATGCCAAAAGTTTTAGTGGTTGTTGAGATCGGAATTTGATCACTGTGAAAATGGTTTTAAGAGAGAGAAAAAACAACAACATCAATAATAGAGACAAAAAACGGAATGAAGTAAAAAAAAATATATCGTTAAGTATTTTAGCTCAATATGATAAGAGATGAGTGTTTTTAATGGACGAAATGCAATATTGTTTGTCATACTCATTAATATCATCCTGCAACATTTGAATTTTCATAGAAATTGTAAGTCCAATGCATGGTGAAGAGCCGTCAAATGTTGATGTTGACTTATTCGCCAAAATGGCCATGATAACTAGAATATTGAAAAGAGATTGATAAAAAAAACCCTATATAGTCAATATTTTCAACTTAAACGTTCGTAGACTCATTATTATTGTAGTCAGTTTTATTCGAAGGCCAGCAGTCTTTCGTTAGAAATGAAAAGACTCTATTAAAAGTTAGAGCGATTGAACGATGGTTTTTGCTTCGTAACAAAGATTTATGATATCATTTATTATAAAATACCTGTTTTGCTGCTAATTCTTCATCCCGTCCATCACCAATCACTACATATGTTGGCTTTCGTCCAAAACGCGTATTAATTCGTTCAAAACAACTTTCTTTACCTATCATTTTAAAAATAATTAGTTTTACTGTATGAATTACATAACAAAAAATATTTCTCATACCAATTTTTGTTGCACTGTAAATATTTTCAATGTCGAAAACCTCACTCAAACCATACAAAATAACTTTAGATAATGCTGGTACAAGTTGAGTAGTTGTCACTAATACATTCACACAATTTTTTCTAAAAAGAAGATACACAACTTTGATCATATACGTAACGATTACATCATCAACAAGAAAAAGTAGTTCTTTTAGATTACCTTTCTTTTATAATTGTTAATGCTTTTAATGCCAATGTTAACCATGAGCCGGTTAATGCTTCGACTTCTAATCGAAGTTGTATTAATTCTTCATACTTTTGTTGTCCCAATAAACCTATATAAGAGACTATTTTTACTATTTTCTTAATGATAATGTTATTGAAACTTTACTTTGAACATTATTTCGAAAACTGTTGTATAAATCTTTTATTTTTCTATAACGAAATGCTAATTTTCTCATCCAATCGACACCTCCTCGTACTGTACTACTGATACACGGATTAACAATATTTGTTGAAGAATGAAAACCATCGGCGATAAAATTATAGGTGCTAAAATAACGCAAATAAATGAAAATTAAATTCAAAACGGAAATATTAATCTATACCTCAAATCTTGTCCATTATCGTCTGATGCCACATCGTCAATATGAACTTGGTCGCATTCCTAAGAAAATTGAAAGTCAAATAAAAAGATGTTGTCCAATTTTTATAATAGATATACCTCAAGATCATTGAAAAATAAATTTGAATCGGCAAGATTAAATATCATTTCCTCAATACGTAAACCGAGTGTAACTGCTGAGTGAGCATCCTATCAAATTTTAAAAGAAAATATTATTTAATTAATGAGTAAAAACTAATAACAAGAAAAATTAATCTTTTTACTTCATCTGTCAGAAAGAATTTTCTCACTTTCTGATATCGTTGTGCATACGTTCCAGTTAATAATGAATGAAATATAATAATTGTTTCATCTAAATCCCATACAAATACACGCTCAATATTATTTTCTGGATCTGGTGATGGTTGATTTTTTCGACCACGATTACTTTTTGATTTTGATGCTAAAATTTTAACCAATAAAATAATATTTTATTTGAATTAGAAAATATTTAGAGCTTACAGCGTGTACTTGTCTCAGTTTTTGAAGATGGTGATGGTGAAGTAGATGACAAATTTGAAAATTGATTTAAATCTAAATAAAAATTAATAAATACAGAAGTGTTTGTATTAGTTAGATGAATATTGTACCAGCTGTAGGAGGTATTGAATTTAATTGATATGTTGGTGCAGTTGAAGATGTTGACGGTCCTGATAAGGATGTTGAACTGGATATTGCAGCTGCAGAAGAAATATTATATGGCGAGGCATATGGTGATGAGGATGTATAACATGGATAATTGAGAGACGTTGGTTGTGGATAAGGATAATAACCATTTTCAATACCCTTTAATATTCAACAATAATTAGAAAGAGTTATCACCACGCTTATTTTACTACTTACAGATTGGGATGTGTAATTAGAAGTAACTGATAGCGGACTATTAGGTGAAACAGCCGCTGTACTCGGAAATGCTAAGAAAAAAAAGAAAAAACAAGTTTAAATACATGTTTTTGTTCTTATTGTTATATTTACTATCAAACGAATATTGTAAATTAAATCCTGGTCCCAAATAAGGATTTGGAGTTTGACTATAAAATGGTGGAACATTAACATAACCAGGCGACGGAAATGAATACGATGCCATTGACTTTTGATTACTAAAAATATTTAATTAAAGATTAATGCAGTCAAAGTATAGCCCATTTTAGAAAATGGTTTTTACTAGGCGTGCGGTTTTCTTCTGTTATATGCTATATTGTATATACCGTACGTATCTTCGTACCTACGTCGTTTGATGTAGTACCTTTGAGGCTTTCTCACAAAATTATATGTACCTCTCAAAATATCCGTATCCACACCTGATTTTCACATACTTAAAATTGAATATTATGTAATTAAAACATAAATGAAAAGAACTCTGATGATCTCCTCACTTATCAAAATTATGAAATGGCAAGTAGTCTACCACTTCACAATATCGAAAAGATTCTTCATTCATTAAGACATAAGTTGGTCAAATGTTAATAATAAAAGATACAATATTTATATATTTCGTACTACCATGTAGCTATTAGCTCAAGGACAGAATTTTCATAAGTATTCACATGACAAATGCAATTTGGTGAAGATACAAATATAATCTTTGTATCTAATTCCTTACCATTTTCCATCAGTTGCTTCATTTTGTTACTGTAAGTTAACATGATGAAATTGTATAATTGTTCTTTTTAGAATAGATAAAATGTTCGTGAACTTTAATGTAAAAACATTGTTCTACTTTTCATAGCGTATAAAAAGTTTGTTATTTTTTGTTATTACCGCAACAAAAAAAATAAAAACTACCAACAGTATATTTGTACGTGACAATGATAACTGTATGAATAGATAGTAGAGATTTATGTTCTTCATCTTCTACTATTTTTTTTCCTCATTTTTCTAATTTGGAATGCAATATAGAACAACAAAAAAAAAAACACCCTTAAAGGTATCCAAAATCCATCTTGTACAGCAGCAATAGCAGGATCTTATTACTTAATATTGTGTCTGTATGAGAAAAAAAAATGAAACAGAGGAATTGATATCTTCTTGTATAGAGATATCACACGTATAAACATTGAAATCTTACCTTTGTAAATTAAGTTTCAATCGATAGATAGATAGCTGGCGTTGTTCGTTAGCAAAGGATCAATTTAATCATGTACAAGAGAGTGAGAGAGAGAGAGAGGGATCTCTTTCACACATCACATTATAGAGAGAGTATAATTTCAGTTGCTTTTCTCTCTCTCTCCCCCTCTCTCTCTCTCTCACTCTTCTCGTTCTTTTCCTCCTATTGCTGCCGTTTTTAAAAACACATATTGGACTATTAGAGGATGAGAAGAATGTTATTGGAACTTTTTTTTGTTGTCAAGATAGAGAGAAGAGAGAATTGAAAGATGTTTTTATGTGCCAATTTTTTTAGAACAAAAAAAAAGATTAAATTCCAATTAATTTTTTCTATTTTGATAGTCAATCTAACAATAAAAAAAATGTGATGCATATTTTTTATGAAAGAAGAAAATAATTGATTTTCTAATATTGAACATGAAGAAAAAAATATAGTTAAAGTTAATATTCTCACTATTTATGGTGTATGCATCAGTTCCTTTAAGTAATAAAATTATTCATAACGGTCTAAGGACGTTTTATAATCAAAAAACTGAACAACAATGTTATTATCAGGTATTTTTTTCACTTGTGTAAAACTTAGAGTCTATGCTTACTTTAAATATTGCTTCTTTTCGATGTTTTTATCTTGTTGTTCTTCGCTGTTACTAGTTGATAATTCACCGTCTCTCCTCTGATTATTTAATGATGATCTGTCAATGTGTCTTGATGATGATAGTGTTAATAGTTCTGGCGCGATTGATTCCTCATCGAATGACGAAGACGTATTGTCACTTGCTTCTAAATTAAAAACAAAGATAATCTTCGATTTATATAAGAGAATAATAGAAAATAATAGAAAAAAATTGACAATTGTAGATTGGATAGAAGTCCTCTATTACTGAACGTGTTAATATGGAAATCATCTTGATTACTGAAGGAAAATAGTATGAGTTTAACTCAGCATTTAACCAGTAGACGAGGTTCATTTGGTTCCCATGAAAGGTTAATGTTAATGATTTGACAAGTTTTATTATACTTATTTTCTTTATGTAGATATGTCTATCATATGTATAAAATATGCACATATCTTTCTCTCTATGTCCTAAAAGTACTGAACGATTATCATCCACTTGACGTCAACTTGTGTTCAATTAATGTTTCATGCCGATATGTATCCGAACTTTTTGATTTATTATCAATGTACATGTCTATCATACACGCTTCGATACAAACATTGTTCATCATCAAAAAATTGCTCAAGTGATTCAAATAAAAAGTTGTTAGTTTTAAACAATTAAAAATAGAAAATAATCCACCATCACAAGTGCAATTTATTTCAAACACATTTCTTGTGAGAAAAACACATTAGTAGTTTGCCGCATACATCATGAGCTCATGTTTTTTTCTGATCTGTTAAACGAACATTTAGAAGAGAATCGAATGCAGGGATAGAGAGAAAAAGTGGCCTAGCCCTAATTACTACTTTTACTATCTGCTATTTTGGAATTGTATCGACTTTAAGTTTCTGAGAATAAAAAGTCTATAAAACATTTCTTTTTTTTGGTACGTATTATAATTTACGTACGCAAGACTTTAATAAGTAACAGCAACAATTTCTTATCAGACGAAAACGGGTTTAGATTTCAGTTTGATCAATCATAAATTTCTCTCCACCTATTCTCGAGACTGAATGTCTATGATAAGATGTATTGTATATTTTGAGATTAAATACTCATTTAGTGCACATTGTTGTTTTTCTTTCTCTTATGCATATATATATATATATATATATATATATGTGTGTGTGTGTGTATGTGTGTTTGTGTATCTATTTTTTTTTCAAAACTGAATTGAAAAATATTCTTAAATCTCTTTTAATCTTTCTCTCAACTTCGAATATAGATCTATTGACATTTCTTGGTATAATTCTCATGTGTCAAATTGTAGTCATGACTCAAGTTTATTTTTTATTGAAGGTAAGAAAAATATTAGACAAGGTCAAATCGACATACCACTTTCAGATAATTTTTGTTTCAGTACATCTGTTACATTGAAGTTTTTTATTAATTTTCCGGAGAATCTAAAATAGGATACTCAAATTTATGAAAATGATATTATATTTATTTTATTCTCACTTACGATTCGGATGTAACAGATTTCAATTCTAATGATGATGTCTTTTGTCTTTTGGGCTAAAAAAGAAAAAAAAGAAAAAGAAAATTGATTCATACGACTGATTATATACCTTCCGTTAAAATAAAAAAAAAACAAAACAAAAAAAAGACTAACTATATCACAATCATTTTAATTGTGTGTGAAATCATAGGTGCCAATTAGAATAAAAATTCGTTACATAACACTCAGCAAGATACGAAACAAGATCAAAACGCGTGAGAGAGAAAAGAGAGAGAGAATCAATAGAATAACATAATTATTACATATCAAAAATCAAAAATAACATTAAATCAAACAAAAAAAATATAATGATACATGCACACCTTAGGAGAGCATTTGTACAGAATATATTATCAAAGAGTCTATTGAATATTATAATTTTAACAAATTTACAGATTTTTATTATATTGTTTTTTAGCAGAACATCATACAGAATAAACTATTTTTAAAATCAAAAGTAGAAAAACAACAAACAATAGTAAATTCAATGTTTTTCAAATTATTTATATTCAAAAATCATTTGAATTTATTTCATAAACTAATTATTTAAAAAAAAATATTTATAATTGGATTCGAACTGTTATTAACTTGGGAATTGATAATATTTTCGTAAATCTGAAAAGTCTATTTTTTTTCTTTTATCATCTAAATATGATAGTGTATAGTAATGACCAACGGCACTTATATTTATTCTCCTCTTTATTTATACAAACAATAAATGATATAGTATAGTTGAATCAAATGAATAATAAAGTGGTAATGTAACGGAAAGAAATCAATTGTATATATATATGTATATACACATACAATCAACTAAAACATAAATCTCATCGATTAATTACATTCTATACACTATCTCTAATAGATAGATTCAAAAATTTCTTTTTTATAATTAATTATACACAAATACTTTGGATTTTTTTCCCTGCCACGATTTTAGACAAGTGTAATAGTGTTAAATCTAAACTTTTCTTCCTCAATTATCTATTGTATGAGTAAAATTTATTTGGCTTTTATGTAACTAATTAATTCAACAAATTTAAATTAAATATGGATGAATTTTGATGACAACACTTTTTGTCTTAGACATATGTATCCAAAAGTATAAAGAAAGAAAAAAAACAACAACAAAAATTTAAACACATGTGTTAATATCGAACGAGTCCCAAATCGATCATAAACTGATGTTCGTTCATCTTCGTCATGTCTAGACAATGTGTGATATTACCTACACATATCTGTGAAGAAGAAATCCATATTGGAAACAAAAATCTATAGGTGATTTTTAATTGAATGAGAGAAAAGAGATAAACAACAAATTCCTATCAAATAATAAAATTTGCACAGGTCAACGAAAAAGAGTAAAAGATAACAGTTTGAGTTAAAAGTTAAATATAGACTATTAGACTTGTTTTAACTCAACATTTTTACAAAAAGTAAATTATCATTTAAAGTCAAGCCTCAATACTATGGCACACACAGACAATGTAATAATGATTTTTTTATTGTTTATATTTACAGAAAACTTATATATTTAACTTACACTTCTCTAATAATCAATATTGACCAAGAATTAAATTTATGTCGTCCATTATTATTTTCTGTTTATATTTATATTTCATACTCTGCTCATGCTAGTGTAAAAAACATTATTTCCGCTCAATTATGTACGTAGACTTACAATATCTATCTAGATTAAAAAATAAACCTTCGGGTCTCGTTTTGTTTCTTTCTTTCTCTGTATAGAGAGTAAGAGAGAGAGAGAGAGAGAGTCTTCCTAGGTTGAAAAAAAAGAATATATAGAAGAAGAATTCTCATTATCATGAATAAAGTTTTTCTGCTCAATATCCAACATTGTCTATGTATTGTGTCCTTGATTGCCGTCAGAACTCCTCTCTCTCTCTCTCTCTCTCTCTCTAATATACATATATATCCTATACGAGGAATATAGTTCAACGTAATTGTCTTCGATTTTATTAACAAACAAAAACTATATAATATTACGTTGTTGTACGCTCTAAAAAATTTGCAAAAAAAGTTTTTTTTTTCCTACTATGCAACAAAGATAATAATGTTCTTTCGCTGTCAAGCAATATAATTTTATGTTGGACATATTCATAGGTATTGTTTGTCGCACAGTATACATTCGTTCACAAAAAAAAAATCTGTTTTTTCTACATACTCTATCAAGAGAGCACATCTTTTCATTGAAAAACGAATGATTGGCAAACTTTTTTTCTTTTTATATAGTTTTTACAAAAATTCTTAATAAGTTTGCCTATTGTGAGACTATAAATGTAATGTTCACCTTTGCCAATTGATTAGTTGAAAGATTTTTTCAATTAACTAAATATTTTTGACTTTTTACCAAACAAAAATGTAGAACAGTTATTCCACTTATCCATCTAACGCAATTCGGTTTCAAATCAAAGAATAGATTAGAGGGGCACTGTTTATTTGCGTAAATATATGTACACACTCACTATGTCATCATTACAAATGAACATTTCTTTACATAAATAAAGGTTTTTGATGTTCAAAAAAAAACTAAAGCTAAATATGGTCAGTCACTTCCACTATACAATGAGAAGATAACATGTATGTCAATCACAATCGGCACTTTGTGCCTTTTATTATTAGCTTTATTTGTCCATACGCACTTCATTTTCATCTCTACTGTCAAAATAGAGAGAGTGAGAGACATTAGACTATATAGTTTGAAGTAAAAAAGAAAACAAATTAATAAGAAACGAAAATATGTTTGATAAACAAGATATATACATTAAAAGATCAGAGATCAATAAGCGAGAATAGAATCGTATCACAAGACTCTTATAATAGCAAACATTCTGCTCTTTTTTTTTTTTTATGAAAAAACTTTAAAACTTTAGCAATAGTCTTTTGTTGATGAAATCTGTCTTTTACTTATTTGGATCGAATTTGATCGTGTATATAACATAGTAAAACAGGAGCGGCATCTAGACAAAGTATCAAGTGATACCTAAATGATATTGTTGACACGGCTCTCTTCTCCCAAACTTACCTGTGTAGATAGATATATTCTGTCGAGTTATGTCAATAGACGGATATCTGATATTATTCCACTACTCTATTCATGTACGCAACGAAGAGGAAAAAATAGTTCATTTCTCTCTCTCCGTTGAAAAAAGTGTTACATCGTGTTCTTCGATTGGTTAATAGAAAAAAAAGCAGAACATAGCCAACAGATTTAATTGGTTAATATTTAACGCGTACACATCAAAGAAAGTTTTCTCATGTTATAATTGCGTGTTCTGGATTAACAATATTCTATTCAAAATCCATTTCTTCCCGGTTTTTTTACATAATAATATATTCTAAGCGCTCTCTCTCTCTCTCTTGTCTGCCATAATCATGTATGTATGTGTAAAAAAACGTCTTATATTCTACCCCTTCAGAAACACACAAGAACAGATCAAATTTCAAAAAGAATATGAATAAGACATTCGATCCTCTATCGAAGAGAAAAAAAAAAATCTTAATTAAAACGTCACCATTCTTTCTTTATCAATTGACAAGTGGAACGGCGTACACACAGCTTTAAAATGGAGGTGGAGAGGCTCATTATAATCTCTTAATAATAATAGAGTACACAAGAGAAGAAAAGAAAAACGGCAGGTGTACATACGCATCATTTGAAAATCTATTATTATTATTATTATTATTATGATTAAAACAATTACTCGCTCCATTCACGGTTTTATAAACGTTTATCTATCTATCACTCATTCTAACGGTAAAACTTCAAACATATCAAAATTGAAAAAAATTTCAATATAAAGACAGAAAGAACAGGAAAAAAAGAAATTAAAAACAATTATTTAACTTTTCATCGGTACATTAGCACGTTTTTGAAAAATACTATTGAACAAATAAGATGGAATTATTAGAAAAAAATGTTTTTCAGTTACATCGAAATTCAACAATTTAAAAGATTTTTTTTTCATTCTTAGTTAAAATGTACCATCATTTTTGCTAACGAGTAAATTTAGAAGGAATATGCCCGTTACACATGATATTTTAGAATTTCAATCTCAAGAATCGACCGCTTTTCTTATAATATCGTATAAACACAATGGGAGAAAAAATACATTTTGATAATTAGATCCAAACATTCGTCAAACTTCAAGTAGACGCAAACCTTTGAGAAATATATTTTCTAGAGATATGTACCGTATATGTCCATGTTGTATAGTTTGAGAAATAAAGCACAAGAAAAAACAATAAGCTAATGAGATGACAGCAAATACAGGTAAAACTATATTTGGCTCATTAAATACAAAATCATATTATATGCATAAATTTATCTGTCAGTTTTCTTTATCAGTCGCTCTTGATTAGAGATGTGTAATAGTAAAATTCCTT